GTGAGTTGTTCGATAATTGAGTTTATTTATTTCGTGGCATTTGCTCTTTTCGTGTGTGTGTGTGTGTGTGTGTGTGTGTGTGTGTGTGTGTGTGTGTGTGTGTGTGTGTGTGTGTGTGTGTGTGTATGTGTATGTGTATGTGTATGTGTATGTGTATGTGTGTGTGTGTGTGTGTGTGTGTGTGTGTGTGTGTGTGTGTGTGTGTGTGTGTGTGTGTGTGTGTGTGTTTGTATGCATGTAAAACAACTACATCAAACAGGTCATTTCAATTGGTGCCTACATTGTTCAGTACTTAGGTCGACGTATGTGTCTTTGAATATTTTCTCCTTATTTCTGACTTTTATATATCAATGATGAATGAATAACATATTAAAACATAATCATCAACAATAACAAACAACAAATCACTAGTTGTAGGTTAACGCCACCTGTTCTGTCGACCATTTCTCGTAACTCGCTCACAGACATTCAAACATACATACATACATACATACATATATATATATATATATATATATATATATATATATATATATATATATATATATATATATATATATATATACTTATAAAGGCACAGGTAGAGAGGAACGGAGAAGAATAAAGAGAAAGAGAAAGGGAGTGAGAGAAAAAGAGGGAAAGAGAATGAGGAGTAGGAGAAAAGGCAAAGAGAATGAGAGGGCGTAGGAGAAAAAGGGAAAGAAATGGAGAAAACGAGAAAAAAGGAAAGAGGAAAAAAATATGCATATATTTAAAGAGGGAAAGAGAAAGATGTCAAGAGAGAAAGAGGAGAGGAGAGAAAGATGCACCAGAGAGAGAGAGAGAAAGAGGGGAAAAGAGAATGAGAAAGACGGGAAGAGGGAAAGAGAGAAAAGGAAAGTAAGAAAGTATGAAACAGAAAGTAAAGGAAATGAAAAGAAAGGAAGAAAGAACATAACAGAGAAATAAAGGGAAAGAAAGAGAAAGGAAGGAAGAAAGAAAAAGAAAATGAAAGTGAAAATGAAAATGAAAATGAAAATGAAAATGAAAATGAAAATGAAAATGAAAATGAAAATGAAAATGAAAATGAAAATGAAAATGAAAATGAAAATGAAAATGAAAATGAAAATGAAAATGAAAATGAAAATGAAAATGAAAATGAAAATGAAAATGAAAATGAAAATGAAAATGAAAATGAAAATGAAAATGAAAATGAAAATGAAAATGAAAATGAAAATGAAAATGAAAATGAAAATGAAAATGAAAATGAAAATGAAAATGAAAATGAAAATGAAAATGAAAATGAAAATGAAAATGAAAATGAAAATGAAAATGAAAATGAAAATGAAAATGAAAATGAAAATGAAAATGAAAATGAAAATGAAAATGAAAATGAAAATGAAAATGAAAATGAAAATGAAAATGAAAATGAAAATGAAAATGAAAATGAAAATGAAAATGAAAATGAAAATGAAAATGAAAATGAAAATGAAAATGAAAATGAAAATGAAAATGAAAATGAAAATGAAAATGAAAATGAAAATGAAAATGAAAATGAAAATGAAAATGAAAATGAAAATGAAAATGAAAATGAAAATGAAAATGAAAATGAAAATGAAAATGAAAATGAAAATGAAAATGAAAATGAAAATGAAAATGAAAATGAAAATGAAAATGAAAATGAAAATGAAAATGAAAATGAAAATGAAAATGAAAATGAAAATGAAAATGAAAATGAAAATGAAAATGAAAATGAAAATGAAAATGAAAATGAAAATGAAAATGAAAATGAAAATGAAAATGAAAATGAAAATGAAAATGAAAATGAAAATGAAAATGAAAATGAAAATGAAAATGAAAATGAAAATGAAAATGAAAATGAAAATGAAAATGAAAATGAAAATGAAAATGAAAATGAAAATGAAAATGAAAATGAAAATGAAAATGAAAATGAAAATGAAAATGAAAATGAAAATGAAAATGAAAATGAAAATGAAAATGAAAATGAAAATGAAAATGAAAATGAAAATGAAAATGAAAATGAAAATGAAAATGAAAATGAAAATGAAAATGAAAATGAAAATGAAAATGAAAATGAAAATGAAAATGAAAATGAAAATGAAAATGAAAATGAAAATGAAAATGAAAATGAAAATGAAAATGAAAATGAAAATGAAAATGAAAATGAAAATGAAAATGAAAATGAAAATGAAAATGAAAATGAAAATGAAAATGAAAATGAAAATGAAAATGAAAATGAAAATGAAAATGAAAATGAAAATGAAAATGAAAAGGAAAATGAAAAGGAAAATGAAAATGAAAATGAAAATGAAAATGAAAATGAAAATGAAAATGAAAATGAAAATGAAAATGAAAATGAAAATGAAAATGAAAATGAAAATGAAAATGAAAATGAAAATGAAAATGAAAATGAAAATGAAAATGAAAATGAAAATGAAAATGAAAATGAAAATGAAAATGAAAAGATGCGTTTTCATCGTGTACTTTAATTAGGATTAATTATCAAATCACGGCAATAATGCTTTCTTTTTATTTGTCAAGAAATGCAGTCGTCCCGTGAAAAGAACCACGGAAGTCGGATACGATAGTCATATTTCTAATATTTCTTTCGTTTTTAGTCTGCCATAACACTTTATTGAAGCTAAGAAAATGTGAAGAGTTACCCTACTTTTTGCAGCCTTCCGCTTAACGCCATCTACTGTCATACGCTATCTACTGCCATACGCCATCTACTGTCATACGCCATCTACTGCCATACGCCATCTACTGTCATACGCCATCTACCGTCATTTGCAGATGGATTTCCGTAGAATTACACCCAGAATCACACTTTAGAAACTCGCTGTTCTACGGGTGTATATTGTGTGTGTGTGTGCGTGCATGCGTGTGTGCGTGCATGTGTGTGCGTGTGCGTGTGCGTGCGTGCGTGCGCGCATTATTGCATGTATTTTTCGTAGTCTTATGTGTGTTTATGTAGACCTATGTTTGTGTGTGTCTGTTTGTGTCTTTGCCTGTCTTCCAGTACCTGTCTACAGTCTTATTCTCAGTCTGTGCGCAGTCTGATTCAGTCCAGGTTTTTCTCGGGGGAAATTCCAAATACCTGAGGAGAAAGTAGCGACGGCCATGTTTTGTATTCAATTAAGAAAATCTAATGTATTTAAACGATAAATGATGAATTATAACGCTAGAATGTTAAAGTGCTAATATAATAACCGGAGTTGAATTTCCATATAGTATAATGATCTAAAAGGCTGTGAAAGCTAAATGCCGAAATGCCATAGCTTATTCTCTAAGTGGCAACTCACACCAGGTAGCACGGCAGATCACCTGTTTTTTTTTTCTTTCTTTTTTTTATGCCACGAACTCAAGCAGTAAAACAACACCAAATAATTATCTAAAACTAGTGTGCGTATAATGGCGATTGCTAAGAGTATTGCCCTCTATTATCAATGATTAGATTATCAAAATTCATTCCGCAAACCACGACTGTTTGACCTAAAAATGAAATTCGCCAACTCGGTTCCTGGGGAGAACTACTCAGAATTTGCGACCTTGCTCCTCGGCCGTTGGCTGTTGACTAGCGGTTATGAACTACGGGTTATTACCATCAGTGGTACAGTGGTACGGTTTGTATACACAATATCGTCTGGTTGCGAAGGTGAATGGTAACAGAGGGCAATAACTCTCTCTCTCTCTCTCTCTCTCTCTCTCTCTCTCTCTCTCTCTCTCTCTCTCTCTCTCTCTCTCTCTCTCTCTCTCTCTCTCTCTCTCTCTCTCTCTCTCTCATTGGGTGATTGGAGGATAGGGAGAAATATAAAAAGGTTGAAAGTTAAGGAAGAAAGACAAGACTGGGGCAATGAGCACTTACATACACATGCATATAAATACATACATATACACACATTCGAACACACACTCACCCCCCCCCCCTCATCTACACAAACACTCACTCACACACGCAACCACCCACTCATCCATTCATTCATATACCCATTCACCAATTCACTCCTTCACTAACTCTACACACACTCACTCACTCACTGTACACTCACTCACTCACTCTACCCTCATTCACTCACTCACTCATTCTACACTCACTCACTCACTCACTCACTCACTCTACCCTCATTCACTCACTCATTCTACACTCACTCACTCACTGTACACTCACTCACTCACTCTACCCTCATTCACTCACTCACTCATTCTACACTCACTCACTCACTCACTCACTCACTCTACACTCACTCACACACTCTACACTCACTCACTCACTCTACACTTACTCACTCACTCTACACTCACTCACTCACTCACTCTACACTCACTCACTCACTCTACACTCACTCACTCACTCTACACTCACTCACTCACTCTACACTCACTCACTCTCTCTACCCTCACTCACTCTACACTCACTCACTTACTCACTCTACACTCACTCACTCACTCTACACTCACTCACTCACTCACTCACTCTCTCACTCTACACTCACTCACTCACTCTACACTCACTCACTCACTCACTCACTCTCTCACTCTCACTCCCTCACTCAACCAACCAGAGTATGAAATACATATGTAAAAGCCCAAATCACGTATTCCATAGCGAAGACAAAGATACAAAGGTGACAGTATTATCAAGTGTGATGTTTGTTCTGGTGGAAGATACATTATGTCAGCACGAGCCAGCAGCTGACAGGATGCTGACTTGTGTCCTGTCGCTTGGGGTTGTTTTCCTCTGCACTGGGGAAGCACATGGATAGCTTAATGAAACGGAGAGTGATTATGGAGATAGGGTGGAAAGAATAATTGGGGTTATGGAAATACCGCTATAGGCACATTTCTATTACACTCACTCTCACATATACACACACGCACGAACGCACACACACGCACACGCACGAACGCACACACGCACGAACGCACACGCACGCACGAACGCACACGCACGAACGCACACGCACGAACGCACACGCACGAACGCACACGCACGAACG